GACTAATGCCCAAATAAGGTAATGTAGACTCGCTCTCGTGGCAAAAACCGTTTTTCGCTTTGCTTCGCTGGTCCAATCCACTCGCGTCTTAGCCTTTTCAAAATTCGGTATAAATGCGACCGCTCAAAGCGGCTCTTCACTTCGACTGTACAATTCTTCCAAACGCTAATCAGTGCAAATCAACTTAGTTTTTTTTTTACACAAATCGGTCAGTTAAATCGCGGCGGGTTCTCTCGAGCTCACATCCCACAGGGGATTTCACAGCTCGTAATCGGAATCCGTGAGATTCCTTCTCCTGGATCGCGTCTCCACGAGCTGTCGCTCTTTCATTATCGTTACGCGTTCCAGGCTCTAGTGACTCGCTTGCCGACCAAAAACTGTCTTGCATCGCTCGCGACTGGGCAAAACCGAGTGGATTGTCGACCGAGAGTCGTTAACGTCAAGCTAATATAGCCGTAAATTGCGCTCTCCGAACGCTCGCGCGACGTTCGGACTCTAACTTTAATCTTTTGTTAATTTTATCGTTGTTAAGTGTGAATCGTCTTTTAAAGTAAGTCGTCGGTCTCAGCCGCGCGCGTAAACGAGCTCAGGGCCGCGCAGTCAAGATTTCCGTCGTTTCGCGGCAAGATTTCCGTCGATTGAGGATCGATTAGATTCTCGGCAAGATTTCCGCCGCGCTACATACGGCCCTCGGCACACGAGCTCGCAGAAGATTTCCGAATTTCGCTTAACGTGAGACCGGGCGAACTGTGCACCGACAGCTTTACAAGTTAATAAATAACTATCATAAAACTTAGTGACTCATACAACTTAATCTCCGTCTAACCTCGTGGCTACTTATTTCCTCCGCACTACTCCTCTGCCTTGCGCAAGGCACAACCGGCGCTTTACTTCGGTCCTCGACTGACCTAAGTCGACTCCGAAACAAAAAGCTGGTCCTTCGAGCCGGATTGAGGTTGTAGTGTCGTGGGAGCGAGTGATTCACGATGAGCGAGACGTTTACACGTCAACTACAGCTGCAGCGATCGATCGAGCGGTCGCTCGACAACTTCAAAAAACTTGGGCGGACCAACCTAACACCGGCAAAGGTACGGTCGCGACTCTCAGCTCTAAAGGATCTCTGGCGGCAATTCCAAGACGGGAACACCGTGCTCCTGGAGACTGTTCCGTCGCCCATTCAACAAACCCAGGACTACTTCGTGGAGCGCCGCTACGAGTCGACGGAAGAGATGTACCAATGCACCGTTGACTTTATGTCGGAAATTCTGGAGGAGATCGAGCCGCCTGTAAGTCCCAGCAATGATTCCTTGCACAGCGGTCAATTTCGGTCAAATGTCGCCGCGTTGTCTCTCGCACAACTTCCGCATATTCGTCTGCCTCCGTTTGACGGAAACCTCGAGGAATGGGAGCAGTTCCGCGATCGGTTCTCGTCGCTCATCATTCAAAACCCGGACTTAAATAATTTCGCTCGCATGCATTTTCTCTCTTCGTGTTTGCGAGGGCAAGCGCTGAACAGTCTCGGTAACATGCCTATCACCGCCGCGAATTTTGAGATCGCATGGCAAACTCTAGTGTCGCGTTTCGAAAATAAAGGGCGACTCTTGCAATTGCATTTGTCTAAATTATTAAATCTGCCGACTGTTCATAAAGAGTCTGCGTCGGAGTTGCAATCACTTCGAGACTGCGCGAATATTGCTGTCACTTCGCTTGCTCAGCTTCCACGTTCACCGGATGAACTGTGGAGCGACATATTAGTACACATTATAGTTCAAAAACTCGATCCGGTTACTAAAAAGGCGTGGCGGCTTAAGACGATCGACCAACTCGATCCTCCGTCGTTTAAAGATTTGAGTGCTTTTCTTGCATGCCGTGCGCGAGCTCTTGAGGAGATTGCAAGCTCCCCCGCTATCAAGACTGCTTCAGGAACTGCTCCGATACGTCGGGTGACTGTCGCGACCGCGGCCGCGTCGCCCGATTCTGCATGTCCGATATGCAAGGCGCGACATTTCTTCAGCGCGTGTCAGACCTTTGTGCGAGGGAGCGTGTCTCAGCGTCGCGAGCTCGTTCGGAAGCATGGGCGTTGCTTCAATTGCCTAAGTCAAGGGCACTCAGTTAGAGAATGCAAAAGCAAATATTCGTGTCGAAATTGTCAAGCTCGCCATCACACGTTGCTTCACACGAGCCAGCGACCTGAGGCTCAGGAAGCGAACAACTCGGTTATCGCGCAACCGA